AATATAATATAATATAATATAACATAATATAATATAATATAATATAATATAATATAATATAATATAATAAAATAAAATTACTGTTTTTGAAATGTTTACTATAAATAAATTCCCCAAAGAGCCCCATTTGAAATGGTTGAAACAAATGTATGTAGCATCAAAAGCACGTCACGAAAATTTTGTTTAAAATTACAGTGCGCACTTTCTTCTTTTATGTCTACTAGCTTTTTTAAGATTGATCCAACAAAATAATGAAAGAAAGGTATTTTATACACAGAAAACAAAAAAAAAATATTATTAAAAGGACAATGTCTCTTTGACGTACGTCAAAGGTCAAGTAGAAGTGGGAACTTGTATGACTGCCCATTGATAGCTCGGTTACATAGCTTAAGAAATAATATGTTTAGAGACACTCTTATCAGAGCTGATATCTATATATGACGTTTGACCAGTTTTCTTACACAAATTCTCTCATGTGCGGCGCTCGGGTAATACGACCTAACGTCGCATCACCACAGGTAAAAAATATTGGTTATAATTTGTCATTTTGTTTGCTAGATATACGTTTTATTGATGCACTTTCACAACATTAGCATTCACAAAAGCTCCGCATTAATTACTGCGGAAGCGAAATCGAATGCGAATGTTAAAATTAATGCGGAAGCTCCACGGTCGTGAATGCGAATGCGATTATTCGCAACAACCCTGGTCCATAACATGACTTAAATTATTGAAGGAGTAGTTTTTCACCCTGGTGAACGACAACTATGGGTTCGATTTCCAATCCGAAACCATTCGGGATTTCAGCGAAAGTATAAGGAATTTTGTCATGAAACTTGGTGGGAATGCCTTCTTTATCTGAATTGATCACTCCCACAATGTAGCAACTAATAATATTTTTATACAAAACGTCACTTATCACTTATATTTTATGTTATCTACTATATTTGAAATGTTAACGTGCGTATAAAGTACTTTTAATATATATCTCTCGGCCTAAAACTCAGAAACTTATATTGGCCTATAAATCGGCACTCTCAATTATCACTAGAAAACAAACTACTACTCTACTCAGCAACTATAAAACCGATTTGGACTTACGGTATTCAGCTGTGGAGAACAGCATCAAAATCTAATATTGAAATACTCCAAAGATTCCAATCAAAAACTCTGAGGATGATTGTCAACTCATCACACACAAATACCCAACTCCACCGAGATCTCAAGATTCTCACCATTTCAGAAGAAATAAAATTACCAACTGCATCTGGCAACTTGAGACTTCTGAGTCACCCTATCCGGTCGGATAGTCGGATGACAGAAAAACGGCCGGATAGCCCGGATTCCGGATAATTACCGGATACCAGGCACATCCCTATTAATTAGAATTTGTATCCTATATATCCCTAATTATGATTAAGTTTCATATTTTGCTTAATTACTGAGTAGAAAAACACTTAAAATAATTTTGTCCGGTTTTACTATAGAGGAATCTGGTAAATTTAAATTAATAAATTTTTTAAAGGGTATCCACACCATAAATATAGCTTACATTTTTCATACCCATGAATTTTTGGGGAGATTAGTATTATTTTTTTTCACTAAATTTAAGTTAGTATCGTTTGATACAAAAAAACTTAACAAATAATTATGAAAGCGTAGAAAAATTGAGCATGAATATATAGCGACAGTAGCAGTTTTACAGATCAAAACATAAGAAAATATCATAGAAAATAAGGATACTGGGACTATGTTTACGGCTCCCTTATATTCCATGTTCTTTGTGATAACGAAAGTGCCGCTCCGTTTGTCTGAAAAATGGATTTCGGGCCAGAGTTCACGGAGACTCCTAATAAATAAATAAAGAAAACCCTGAATGTCGGTATTGAATCGGTGCAACTATGAAAAATCGGAACATTTATACGTTCCGACTTCTAAAAAATATACAGCGGGACAATTTTCTCAAAATCTGTACGAATGGTCACCGTAACTATAGCACATCTATTAAATTGTTCTGCTATCGCCATAAAAACTGTAATAAGCACCCTATAAATCCGAACTGAAAACCAAATGCGAATTTACGATCCTCCGCCCGCCCGTCATACTATTTTTTAAACTGATTGTGATAAAATAATGCCATTTTAAAAAATATTAAGTAATACCTTAATCCTGGTGCTGTGATTTTCGTTCCATAACTATATCACAAATGCACTTTAAATGTAAACTTTCTCTCTTTTGCACTGTAACTAACAGTTTAGGTAGGAATGGAATTAAAATAGTTTTGAAACCAAAAGGTTTTGAACTATTTTTTTTGGGTTAGAATTTACAAGTGTGGAATTTAGGAACTACGAAATCCTTTGTTTTCTGTTTTTATTTATAAGTTGCTTATTACAGTTTTATGACGATAAAAGAACAGTTTAATTGATGCGCTGTAGTTACGAAACATATTATACATATATACGTAGAAAAGTTATTTATCTTTCCTCAGAAGTATACGCACTCGCATGGATGAATCGAAAACAATTTTATATTTATTAACTCACAGCGCAGTCATGCGGGATGTTTGCCGATTATTTTTCTGATTTATGTATATAAGTATGTATACAGTAGCTGATACAGTTTACTTAACTGCTTACATTATCACCAGCGAAATCATCTTCATCTGTTGTCTCGTTATTTTTCATAGTGAAATGACCACAAATATGATACATGTATATACATACATACAGTGACTCAAACGAGTACCCACAAGTTTGTTTTTTAATATTCGGAGTGTTTTAGCGGTTTAACTCCTCCTAAACGGCTCAACCGATCTTTATGAATTTTTTTTTATATATATGGTAGGTATGAGAATCGGATGTAAAGTATATTTCAGTATATTTCACACCTCTCTCTCTCTCTGAAAGTGTTCATGGTAGAGTACCCGAATATTGTATGAAGATGTATGAAAAAAAATCGCATACTCATGGAGAAAAATAGCGGTTATTGTAAAAGGGGGCTTGGCACCTTCTATATGGATCTTGGTATGTACAAGATACATAAAATTTATCGTATAGTCATGAAGAAAAATTGGAGCTATTGGAAAAAGGGGCGTGGCACCTCCCATACAAACCAAATTTTTCCCACTGCGTATCTCCGGAAGTGTTCATTGTAAACTACTCAAACATGTTACGGAGATATATGTAATCAATCAAATACTCTTAGAGAAACTTGGGGCTATTTGAAATGGGGGCGTGGCACCTTTCAAATGCACTGTTACTATTACGTATCTTTGTATGTATATACACTTTTTCTAGGCTATTTAAGACGGCCATGGAAATATGGCTTCTGACTAACACCAAACCATAATATTAGAAGATAAATGCGTCACTGAAAATCATGAGCGTGAACTGTTGGTGAAAATGTTGGACCAAAATGTTTCAATACAAAAAATTAATTTTGGGCGGGACAAAGTTCGCCGGGTCTGCTAGTAGTAGTAGTAGTCCAAGCTGTAACTAGAACCATATAAATCATAGTTTTTATACAAAATTAATACCAAATTTAGAAATATTCTACAAATTTTCATCAAAACTTCAACTTTTTAGTCTGAGTTCTTAGAACATTTTTGGTATGCAGTTTTTTAGCCCATACAATTTCAGTAAAACGAAGTGCAAGCTTCAACATGCTTAAAAAACCGCGTTAATTTTTGAGATATTTTTTGACACGGCTTTGTG